CCCTTGTGACAGGAGCCGGCGCTATAGAGGAGGCATCGGCTTATGTGGCTCTGCTCCCTCCGGTGCCGCCTCACTTCCTCTAGCGCTGGCTTCGTTGGCACCGCTGATTCTTTTCTGCGGCTCTTCAAATTCCCCCTTATGCAACCACCGGCCCTGGGAAAGGTCACAATTAGGTCTTATTATCGGGGTAGGTCTTATTTTCGGGGAAACAGGGTAGTACCCTTGTATTGGTGGTATTGTACATTTGCATTAACCCTTTCGCTGCCAAGGACGTATGGCATACGGAGCTACAAAAGTGCTTCCAGCTGGCCAGCTCATTTGAAAAATTTTCCGGAGGGCTTGGCAGCGAAAGGGTTAATTGTATATATTTTATCCTATTTATTTTATGTCTAATACATTTTGATACAATTTACCCATGCATTGGTTTCATACCTCTCTACAAACCCTATTCCCTTATATGTTTTTCATGTTCACCACTTTTTTAGGGTGAGAGGTGAATGTAGGGAGCCAATGTCAAGGCTATTCACAAATTTTACTTATAACGCCAGGTGTGTCAAACATGCTGATGCGTTTCAGCCCCTAAAGGCCTTAGTCACAGGCTTTACATCTTCTTTAAATATTATGAGCAGTTAGACCCGTGTGCTCATCTCAACGCACAGTGCAAAGATTGGGGGCCGCACAGGAGCTTATAGCAACTAATCTCACATTCATTTAGATCTTTTTACACTTCAAGTTGCCACAAGCTGAATATATTTTGGTTCCTGTTGACAGCTGCACTGTTAACAGCCCATTTACACTTGGCGCTAAAATGCATGCGTCACTGTGTCATGCAACAATGGGCCAAGCTTCAGTATCTTGCTAGTCGGCCCCGCTGGCTCTCAGAATACGTGAACAATTGGATGCTGGCATTGTTCAGGTGTTTTCAGAGCCAGCGGGGCCGACTAGCAATTGGGAATGTGCGGCGGCCATATTGGCCACCGGCGTGTTCTGTGAATGCGTGCCACCATCTTAGAGGCGGGGAGCATGACGTTACATTACGCCATGCATACGTGGCGTCAGGTGACGTCAGACGCCGATATAGGCGCCGCCATCTTGGTGTATACCTAGATATACACCAAGATGGCGGCGCCCAACACGTGCGGTGTTATATGACGTCATGCGCCCTGCCTCCAGAACACGCCAATGGCTGAATCCAAAATAGCATAAAATGTGTTTTGTTTGATGAAACGAATAAAAAAGTTTTTGTTCATTTCATGTGAAATAAATTTTTAGTCTTCGCACATATCCAATGTGGGTGATCGGCGAGTTTGGGGTGCCCTAGAAAGGAATGGCACCGCAACTCACCTAACAGAATTTGTCAGGCCGACAAATTGAAATAGCCGATAGCAGGCTGGCTATTGCTCCGCCCATTGCCTGATGTCAAAGTTCTCTCTCAGGTCCGTTCCTCTGCTGATTGACATCAGGCATTGGGCAGAGCAATAGCCAGCCTGCTATCGGCTATTTCAATTTGATATAGCCAATAGCAGACTTTGTTTACTTCTCACCCGCTGCCAGATGTAAACATTCCATCGGGTCTCCAGGCGTCGGGATTCCAGGATCGGGACGATGCACATTGCTGGACGACGTGATGGATTTTTGGACATTTTTGCACTTTGATTCTTTTGTTTTTGTGTTTAATAAAGGAATTGTCAAAAATGTGCGTAGTGTGTTTATTTACAATTTGGCTGTTTATTTGGTGAATGAGTAGGGGGAACAACTACCCCTTACTCATTCATGTGGAGTGGAGGGGGGAGCGGCATCTGGGTGCCCCCTTTATGAACCCAGATTCCTATAAGCCCCCCTGCCCGCAGACCCCCACAACCATTGGGCCAGAGTTGTGGGGAAGAGGCCCTAGTCCTCATCGACATGGGGAAAATATGTTTTTCCAGGGGGCCCCCCTCCCCATGTCAAGAGTATGTGGCCTGGTATAGGGCAGGGGGGGGGGGCCCCACGCCCCCCCCCCCCCACCCCTCTCCATTTCTTAAAGGAGAGCTATGAGGTGAGTGATTTCCACTCATCGTTAGAGGCGACCTGTGACAATGAAACTGTCACACGTCGGTTCTATAGATCGGGAAGTGAGCGAATGCATACAGTAGCTCGCTCACTTCTGCAGTGACTGTCATCTTTCTGCAGTGACTGTCAGGGATTCCACCCTCCCCTCTCTGATCCTTTAGCGCTGAGTGGAGGAACGGATGGGGAAGGGGGCGGGTACAGCTCTAGATAGGCAGAGCCCGCGGTCAATCAGCCAGCTGGGTGGATCTCAACAGTATTGTTGACATCCGTCCTGGCTGCGGAGCTCTCAGTATATCGCGGGCAATAGCAAGCTAAATACTGAGCCTTGGGTCACCGGAGGAGGTTAGTATATGTCCTCTCGTGACCCTAAAGAGATTTTTGGGGGAAAAGGTTACCCCATAGTTCTCTATTAATGGTATAAAAAAATATTGGCCCTCGTACTCGATCCCAAAAAAACGGCATCGGTGCAATCCTATGCAACATAATTATTGTTTCCTTAACGAAAATTTCGGATTTGTCCGAATGCCGGAACAAATTGCCTTTCAGACCCGAATGCTGGAAAACAAAATAAGGAAACATTAGAAACCAACCGAAATTATTTTCAGTTCATGGGTGCCTTAAAGAGAAGCTGACATGACAGAATCTCCCATGAAAGATAGATGCTCCCAAGAAATAATGAGATCGGCAAATAATCATTTTACTCTTTCATGATAATCTGGCCGTCTATCGCTCCACTCTGTGATGTCACCTTACCCAGTGTGAAGCAAAACAAATGGCAAACGCACTCATCAATTCGTCACCAGCTTTACAGCAAGGTGCACATGGAAGGGCCTGATACAGTACAGGCTGTGCGGCTTTCACATGTTCTGCAGAAGACGTGTATCTAAACCTCTGTTTTTAACCTTAGCGGTGAGACAAGTTTTTTTACATGCTGACTGGTGAGTGTGCTGGGAAACTTTTTTCTGTCACTGTGTAAAGCCCTTCCATGCGCACCTTGCTGTAAAGCTGGTAACAAATTGATGAGTGCGTTTGCCATTTGTTTTGCTTGACTGATTTGGTGCAGTGACTCACTGGGGGTCCCAGCGGCCGTTGTGAATAGTGATGGTCTCAGGCGTGTTCACAGCTCCACGTGTCAAGCCCGCCAGGAAGCTGACAGCGCTAAATCACAGGCACTGAGACATTTCCCGATCTCTGCAGCTGCGGACCGGGAACATGTCTCAGTACCTGTGATTGGCGCTGCACACTGTCAGCTTCCTGGCGGGCTCGGCACGTGGAGCTGTGAACACGCCCGAGACCATCACTAGTTGTGATGTGCGGGATCCCTTGTGTGTTCCTGTGCCTTTAAGGGAGGTTGGGCTTCCTCCTGACAAACCTGCACCCAATTTGATCTTTTGCCACATGTGCTCCAAGATGGAGACTCTCATAGGTTAGAGTTAGGACCACACTATTTAGAGGGGCCTTGGCGCGGCTGTGCGGCTTTCACATGTTCTGCAGAAGACGTGTATCTAAACCTGTTTTTAACCTTAGCGGTGAGACAAGTTTTTTTGCATGCCGGCTGGTGAGTGAGCTGTGAAACTTTTTTGCTGTCTTACCCAGTGTGAGTCACACTCCTGCCTCCTCTGCCCGGCATTCCTCGCTATTTGGGATGGAGCGTCAGGCTCTCCTCCGTTTTCTAAAAAGCACACAAGGACAGAATGTGACTGTACTGTACAATATGAAGAATAAGACGCAGGGAGGATGCACACCTCGGCCTTATTGGTGGGAGGTAGCTCAATCTGTAACAAATATGCTGTTCTAGTCAGTGGCATCACAAGGGGGGTGCGGCCCGCACCCGGGTGACACCATAATGAATGACAGTCATTTTGGTGTCACCCCCTCTAAAAAAAGTCGGGCACTCGGTCCACAGTGTCAGGAAAGAGGAGCGGCATACTTCATCCCGCCGTGTTAACTTCCCCTCCTCTCTCTGCCGGCGTCCATCACTAAGATGGCCGCCGGCAGTCGTCAATCAGATGGCAGCGCATGCACGATGACGACACGGCCTCGGGATGCCCCTGGATCTAGTACCCTTACCAACGGCCATCATTATCAGAGAATGCACATACAGCCGGGACACATAAATGTTCTGTTCCACCATCACTTAACTGGGCAAGGCTGACAGCGCAGCCCCAAAGCAACTGGTGTCCAAGAGCCCTGGGTAGCTTGCCACCACCTCCAGTTTGTCAGTTGACTGAAGGGTTAAACCTTCTGTCCTGTTTATATGGATGTGCACATCCCCCCCAATCCTAAATTTTAGAGTTGCCACCAGAAGGAAAGTTAAGGGAAATCTTTTAATGGGGACACTTGTTCCGGGGACAACTGTATGAGAGAGGAATTCCCCTCGCTTTAGATTTCCTTTAACTTCCTGTTGTGTCTCTGGAACAGGAAGTGAAAGGAACACAGGGCACAAACAATAAACTGGCAAAGGTTTTAACCCTTCCTTACTCTATCCAAAATTATATATATATATATATATAAAAAGGTTTTGGCACCAGAAAAGCTTAATTTGTCAGCCCGCTGCTCTAAAGAAGAGCTTTCATGATAGTGGGGCTTCAAGTGCTGCCTCTGACATCACCAAAGATCCATAGTATTCAGTGAATGTCATGCTTCAGAAAGCTGTCAGAGACTGCAGACATGCAACAGGAGACGGTGAGGGACTACACAGTCATGCTACAAGAGATGCTCACAGACTATATGGTTCCAATACAAAAAAATAATACATTCACGTTTTTTCTTTTATGAAAATGAGTGCTTTTTTTTTTTTTACATGAATAGCACGTCTCCATAGCAACAGGCGCTACGTACGAGTCTGGAAAATTCTCTTCATGACATCTAGCCGTGCTTAGACAGGAAGCGGAAGTGACGCGTCGCCGGAAGTTATTCTTCAGAAGAGAGAGGGTTGAGTGAAAACAGTGAGTGGCTGAAATCCCATGTGAGTTGTACCGGTGTTTACCGGTACAGTGTTCGGCGGGGAGCGGATGGTGTTTGAGTGCTGGGTATTGTCATCTCCCTGCTCTGTGTGTGCCCGGGTATTGGAGGATGTACAATACAGAGCAGTACTCTATGTTACAAGGTGACAGTGCAGGGGAGTTCTCCTCTATGGTGCCCAGTGACGGCACAGGGAAGTTCTCTATGGTGCACATTACAGGGTCGTTCTCCTCTATGGAGCACAGTGCATGGCGGTTCTCCTCTGATGCCCAGTGACAGCGCAGGGCAGTTCCCCTTTATGGTGGCCGGTGACAGCGCAGGCCAGTTCCCCTCTATGGTGCACATTACAGGGTCGTTCTCCTCTATGGAGCACAGTGCATGGCGGTTCTCCTCTGATGCCCAGTGACAGCGCAGGGCAGTTCCCCTTTATGGTGGCCGGTGACAGCGCAGGCCAGTTCCCCTCTATGGTGCCCGGCGACAGCGCAGGGCAGTTCCCCTCTATGGTGCCCGGCGACAGCGCAGGGCAGTTCCCCTCTATGGTGCCCGGTGACAGCGCAGGGCAGTTCCCCTCTATGGTGCCCGGCGACAGCGCAGGCCAGTTCCCCTCTATGGTGCCCGGCGACAGCGCAGGCCAGTTCCCCTCTATGGTGCCCGGCGACAACGCAGGGCAGTTCCCCTCTATACTTTACTTTTACAATTTTAATACTGAGATACATATGAGCAGCAGCCTGGGCAAAGAAAAAGCTTTTTTTCATGAACAAAGCACAGGTCCACTTTAAGCTATGCTGTCTGAAAAATCTTCTGCATTTGAAACACTACTGGTTGTGTTTAAAGCCGGGTCCACCACTGTGTGCTGTGGTTCCATCCACCGCCCCCCACATCACTATAGTATCCTATATTGATATTGATGCGGGGGGTGGGGGGGACCAAATACACCCGGAAGTGTGTTGGATGTAGAAGGATCTACTGATAGCAAAGCTCTTCAAGAGAGTGAAGATGGGCGGCAGTATTGAGAATTCTTTTTCAGCAAGTTTTTATTTTTATTTTTTTATTATTATATAGAATAAAATTCACTTTACCCGTTCACCAGATGACACTGCAGGTGAAATCTTTCATGCATCCCAAGAAACCACGAGAGTTCTGAGGTCCTGGATATATATTTTCTCTTTACAATAATGACAATATGTCTGCCTTCTGTCTGCAGGGTGCAATCATGGAGTTGGAGATGTCAGACCGTTATGACCACGCCTTGCTGGGTATCCTGCAGCACGTGGGGAACATCCAGGAGTTTTTAAATGTTTACTTTGGGTTCTTGTACCGCAAGACAGACTTTTACCGGCTGCTAGTGGGCCCCCAAGATCGGCTGGGATTTCCCCCGGGTGTTGCCCAGAACATGGTGCTGCAGGTGAGTAATTGGCTTTTGCAGTGTGCAGTACCATGTAGACAATGCTGGTGCTGGAGATGAATCACACTTCTCCCCTCTCAGACATTCAAAAACTACGAGCGAGTGGCCATGAAGGACCAAGAGCAGAGGATGCGGGAATTGCAGGAGAAACTGAAGAAGGAGGAGGAGAAGTTGGCTCCTGTTGAGGCTCCTGTTGAGGCTTCTGTGGCGACAGAGGAAGTTGTCTTAGAGACGGCGGCAGACGAGCTACCCCGGGAGCAGGAGAAGTCGGAGAATCAGCCAGAAACTTCAGATACACCAGAAAAAGCTGAGGAGGTGGAGCCCAGCACCAGCAATATGGACAACGCTGCTTCTGCAGCCAGGTAAATTGACCAATAAATTATACAGGTGAAGTATTCTTTCATTGGGGGCCCTTGTATGTCTGCAGAACAGTCAGGGTGGAAGTGTAAAAACAACCCAAAAAACTACTTGTCCAAGGACTAAAGCGGGGGCCCAATCTACTTGTCTCTCATCACTCGTGCCTCATCACAATCTACTTGTCCCTCATCACAATCTACTCGTCCCTCATCACAATCTACTCGTCCCTCATCACAATCTACTCGTCCCTCATCACAATCTACTCGTGTCCCTCATCACAATCTACTTGTCCCTCATCACAGTCTACTTGTCCCTCATCACAATCTACTTGTCCCTCATCGCAATCTACTTGTCTCTCATCGCAATCTACTTGTCTATCATCGCAATCTACTTGTCTCTCATCACAATCTACTTGTCCCTCATCACAATCTACTTGTCTCTCATCACAATCTACTTGTCTCTCATCACAATCTACTTGTCCCTCATCACAATCTACTTGTCCCTCATCACAATCTACTTGTCTCTCATCACAATCTACTTGTCTCTCATCACAATCTACTTGTCCTGATACAAAAAAATAATTTAAATTAAAACTGTATTTAACCGTGCTAAGAAGCGCTTCTCATTGGTCAGCGCCGTCACCTGACCGTGCTGACCAACGAGTGCTCTCAATTTGCAAGTGAAATTCAAAATCCAGTGTAATGGGGGCAGCACTCAACACACACACACACAATGCCCCACGCATGCGTTTATTTGTATTTATTTGAATTTTTTTAAACCTTTTTGATTAGGGCTGTTACTGATTAAAATTTTCGTGTTCGATTAATCTAATTTTTTTAAAATCTATTAATTTCGATTAATTATAACGCACATACAGATCCAACTACATTGGCCTATACACATACAACACAGCAATGAAGTAATAAAATGAACTAGGATCACATTAATCCAGCATGTTATTAATCTCACGTGCCCCACTCAATATGGCCGCCGCTTGAGTGGGGCACGTGAGATTAATAACGTGCTGGATTAGTGTGATCCTAGTTCATTTTATGACTTCATTGCTGTGCTGTATGTGTATAGGCCAATGCCTTGGCTGGCACTCGTGCAGAACAAGTTTCTTGGGCAAACCTCTTAGTTGTAACGAAAGCGGAAGTCAGGCGGTCGCAGAACTCAATAAGTGTCGACAGATCACCGGTGACCGATCGAAAGTTCGAACTTATCGAGTTCTGGGACCGCCTGACTTCCGCTTTCGTTACAACTAAGAGGTTTAAACAAAAAAGTTCTTCTGCACGAGCGCCATCCGCGGCATTGCTCTATACACATACACCACAGCAATGAAGTCATAAAATGAACTGGTAATCCAGTACGTTTTTAATCTGAGTTGCACCACTCAAGCGGCAGCCATATTGAGTGGGGCACGTGAGGTTTCCCAGAGTTCTTTCAATAAACTCTCCAGGGAAATATATTTTTTAGTTAAAAAAAAATTCAAACAATCTTTATTCATTCAGACAACTTTATTTTCACTAACCACACAGATCTAGCGATGTCCTTTTACCATTGCAAGCATCCTTCCTTAAGCCTGGGTTCACACCTGGGCGTTCACAATATGCACGTTTTTGCCTACGTGTTTTTAGCGTGATTTTCTGTCCACGAAAACGCACATTTACGAAATCTCTATTTAGAAGTCCAATGGATAGGCGCTGAAATCTGCCCCAAAGAAGATCAAGTACTATTTCGCGCTGAAATACACCCAGGTGGGAATCATGCTCATAGCAATTAATAGGATTTCACTTCTTGAGCGTTTTTTCAGCGCTTCGATCAGCGCTGAAAAACGCCCAGGTCTGAACCCAGCCTTATGCGTCACCGCTGATTTAAAACGATTCTAATATTTGAACGGCCATTGACCTCCTCGTACAATACAATGGAAACAGACACATTTGAATCGAGGATAGAAATAGAACGTAATTTAAAGATCATTTTAGGGAAATTGAAAATTCTGATGAGGTTCAGATTAGATTATGAATGAAAATGAACTTGTACTCTAAGGTGGGATATAACCTGGCATGGAGAGGAATTGGTTTCATTCTGGCCAGTATAGAGCTGTGATGCAGAGTACGCGCTGCATGTACTCCTCGTCCGGAGAGAGGGCATGTATAGGATAGCGGATAGCAATTTGCAGGGAAGGATTTACTGTGTTAATAAGGCAGGGCAGTTATGTGCAGAGCCCGGAACAGTGAGTGAATGTAGGGGGAAAGGTGAATTGTTACATGGTCCATGGGTGCCATGAAGTGAATGAGGAGGAAGAGCAGGAGAACTCCCTTTATGATATTACATTCCAGAACAGATGGTGCCACTCTGATTAAAATAAGAAGCAATATAAATAAATATATTTCCTCATGAAGTTAGGTTTCATCTGTAAGAAATATATCTGTAAGATGCAATGAAGAAGTCTCATCTCTTACAGAGTTTAAAAGCAGACCTATGTGCTAAGTTTACTTTTTATACCATGTTTCATGTTACACCCATATTTGGGGTGTAACATGGAACATAGTCACATAACCCAAGCCCCCCATCCCTAACACCCCATCACCACCTCCACTTACCTGAATTGCTGGGTTTTTCTCCATGGCTGCTGTAATCGTGGCTAGGGCTGCAACAACTAATCGTCATAATCGATTATAATCGATTATTAAAAAAGTTGTCAACTTTTTCAATAATCGATTAATCGGCTTCCGATCAGTTAGTGGCTCTACCTGCACAGCTATGTCATTCATTCACAGATCCTTCGGCAGGATCTGTGAATGGAGAGACTGCTAACCCCTCCTCTTCATTGGGTATTAATGGCGGTATTCTTTACCCCCCCCTTACTGCATCAGTGGCAGTATTATTTAACATTGGTGGTTACTTATCTAAACTCATGCCTCTCTCTTTCTCTTCCCCGGGAGCTCTGTCTGTTGTGCACAATGACCAGACAGGGAATATGAATAGCGGCACTGGGCAGCTTTGCCTTTTGTAGTCAGTGTGCACAGTGGCCAGGCAGGGAAGCTGAGCACAGGTCCTTGGGAGCTCTGCCTGTTGTGGCCTGTTTGCACAGTGCCTAGATCGCTGCCTCCCTCACTGCCGCTGTCCTTCCAGGCTGGACACAGCCCTCCTCCCTACACTTCATGGAGGCCTCTGCTCTTATACACCTTCTTTCCAAGATTCACCGTCTCTTCTCTGTACTTCAGCCGCTCTCCATCCACCTTCTCTCCGCAGGCCCCACCATCCGCTCACCAATGTCTACTGATAGAATCCTCTATGCAGGGATCCAATTCACTAAGACATGGGGGATAGAGCTACAGGAAACTGCTGCCTGGCAGTTGAGAAGCACTGCCCTTGACTATAAGGGGTGTTAACAAGATAGGTCACCAAGCTCAATAGAGGGAAAACCCCTCTGATGCTTGCCGAGGGACACAAGGCCGAATATTACTAGCAAAGCAACTAATTTAAAGACAGGCTGAACATTTTAGGGAAAGGTAAACGCCCTAAGACTCTCCGGTCAGTAAAGGGTGTTGGTTGGGTTCTGGACAGTGGTGATGGTCCGGTTGCAGGCATCTTTTGAAAACCAAATTTAGATGTTCGGGTTTGAAAAATCTCTTTCGTCAAAGAGCTGCGGCAATGTTGAGTCATACTAGTGAGTCAGAAGCATAATGTATAATGTGATGGGGAAGGTTCAGTAAATGAGAGTGATCAATATAGCCTTCAGTACACTGGAGCCGATCTCTATGAAGACTGTACACACAGAGAATACAGAGTCTGATACTATGACTCTGAGTATTATTAAATCTGCAGGATGCAAATGGGATATGGTGCTCATAGTATCCAATTGTGGGCCTGATTTTATTTCTAAACTTGACAAACGGTATCTAGAATCTGATTGGGCTGTGTTCTTTTATCAAAGGATATCTTTAACATTGATTTTGTTTCAAATCAGGAGCCAAGGTGATATCCAGACGGACCCAGACAGTTACAATGGTGCAGTGAGGAAAAACTATGTATGGTCGCAGGATTACAGTGACCTGGAAATTAAGGTGCCGGTCCCCAAGGATGTGGTGAAAGGCAGACAGGTAACCTGGACTCTGTATGAATTGTTATTTTATACATAGCTTGTCATTTTAAATGTACGGTATATAGCTTGTATACGTGCGGTAGAGTGTGTTGGATATGCTGGGCTCCCAGCAGAGGGCGCAGTACACTCATTTAGTAAACATAATGGGAATGGCTTTAGGCAGACACAAAAGGAATATGAAGTCTGAGTGGTCTGCATGCAACTGCAGTTGTTTAAGGCGCCTTTAACGTGGGCAGTCCGATCAGATCTACCTGCCAGTCTTTCAGATGGATTTGATTGGAAACCCAATGGAACTCTATGGGAGCGGCTGAATGTAAATGGACATATATTTATATCCAGTTGCCTCTGAGTCCGCTTAGTGCCGAAAAACACAAATGCAGAAGGTTTGCGTCCTGCCACAAAGGCGGCATCCATTCTGTGCCGCTCCGATCAGCAGGGGATCTCTGCACAAATCTGCTGATCGGACCGGCCGTGCACACGTGTGATGGGGACTAAATGGAACACATTCTACTAAAGGACCTGTTGTGTTTAAAAGCGACTGTAGAAGGAACATGCTGCTGTTTCTTTTGCCTGTGTTTCCACTTCTGAGAGAATGAAAGCAAGAACGTTTAGTTGCTATGACCAATTGCAACGTTCCTTTTTTCAGGCACATTTCTGCATCAGAACAAAACTTATAATAAGAGTGGAGCAGGAGATGCGGTGCCCTAAAATATGTTAGGAATATTGTTTATTGGGAAACCATACCCAATGACAACATCTTTATAAATGGCTACAGAGAAGATATTTTGGAAACATTCTCAGATGAGAAAAAATGTCAGGCAGTTATTTGAGAAGATGATGTTCGAGGGCCTATTCAAACCAGCCAGGTCCACTGCGGTTTGTTAAGCGTAAGTTAAAAGAGAACTTTGACCAAACCTTTTTTGGCTGTACTTCTTTTTAGGGTCACAGGAGGACATGTCTACATTACTAATGTCCTCCTATGACCCAAAACTCAGCATATAGCAGACTATTGCCCGCTATATGCTGTCGGTGCAGAGCCATGCTATATTGTTGGGCTCTACCCTGCTGTCTGATTGACAGCTCACTCTGCCTCTCTAGAGCCAGAACCAGCTGTGCCCACCCCCGCCCTTGTCTGTCCCTCCAGTCAGTTCTAGAGGAACAGAGATGGGGGGGGGGGGGGGGAATCCCTGCGTGGTGCGGTGACTGATAGTCATCACTCTCTGCAGGGAGAAGATTGTGAACTGAGTGATGTGATCGCTCAGTTTCTGATTAATAGAACCCATGTGTAACAGCTGCAGTGAGGCACATCAGCTCTAACTATGGGGACGAGTGTATTTCACTCTCCTCATTGTTGTCCTTTAACGTGCATTGGGTTAAGGCAGTCCAGTCATTTGAAACGGCTTCCTGACATCCCGCATCTGCCTGTGCCATTTTCAGCAGCACCCAGCAATGAATGAAGGGGACCGCATCACACCTGCACATGTTGCGGCCCCACGATTGTGTGAAATGGCCCTGAAACCAAGGTGGCATAGTGGGGGGTGATCTTTTCCAGCACACAGGTGACTTTCTATCAATAATCACAAAGGAGTGAACCCCTGTGATTACGTTGGTTGTTTTAGAGACTTGCATGAACTAATAAACTGCTCCGGAGAGTATATCCATGTCAGATATCTGTGTAAGTGTGGGAATTTTATTTCCAAAGACAATAATGTATTAGTAGCTCTCTCACACAATGCCTAATATCACAGAAAAAATGCAGAAGTGTCTGTGACATGCGGCTTTACTTCCTCTTTCCTGTGCGAGAGGCAAGATGGCAGCTCCAAGGTAGGAATAAATGGGTCTTTAGGGATAGACTTGAGCAGAGATTGTTTTCTGATCATACACCAGTGAATCGTTCATATGACTACAAACTCTACATGTTTTTTTTTTAAAGATAGTTGAATGAAAGGTTTGCTTTAACAAATGATAAATGTATTGGTTCTGCATGGACTGACACATTACCTTTTGATTCTAGTGCGATGTTCTGCAATTGCAGAACCTAGAAATGTGTGTAATGGTCTCCACGCAGTGTATGGAGGATATGGCATCTGTAGGGGAAATGTTGAGCTACATCTCATGTGGACTGTACACATGTTTCTAATGCAGATATAGTATCTGTGTCATCTGAAGCATAAGAGATTTATAAAGGTGTAAGCCATAGAGTTGTGCCTCAAACCTTTGCTTTTCTCCAATGTTGCCAGGTGTCGGTGGACCTACGAACTAAATATATCCGTGTGGTGTTGAGGGACGCTCAAGGAGAACAAGTCTTGATGGATGGAAACCTGACTCATAAAATAAATGCAGAGACATCCCTATGGAGCCTGGAACCTGGGAAATGTATCTCGGTAATAAGATAAATGAGGGTCCACATGTAGTACATTATATCCTTCCAGCAGGTGCAAGCTTAGTCCTAATATAGGTCTGCACAGTATAGAGCATTCCTAAAGAGCAACTCTAGTCAGATAGTTAAATGCATTTTATTGTTCTTCTGTGAACATCATAGTATTTTTGTGAACCTGGTTCTAATAACTCATTATCTGAAGATGACTACTTGTTGAAGATTTGGGGGTAAAGGTGGTTTTGGATTTCCAAGGTATGAAACGTACTGCAGGGGCTAGTGGGACAGAATATCTTGTCATTTCAGACTGTTGTCTATTGTTTGATTCTAGAGCACATGTGTCAAACCTCCTTAAACTTTTAAAATGAAGCTGGGCTTCACAGGAAGACTGTCGCGGTTCCGTCGGCCTTCCGGTAAATTGTGGCGCATGTTTTGTAGAAGTTCTCCTTCTGTGGATCCACACCGCCCGCACCCTCTGACCGACCAACAGGGACCACGGGTGAGACTGCACAGTCCACCTGAGAGTCCGCACAGACACCATAGACCCCGCGCAGCCCACAATAGAACCTGCGCAGCCTACCATAGACCCCACACAGCCCTTCTGAGAGTCTGCACAGCCCACTATAGACCCTGCACAGCCCACCCGAGAGTTCACACAGCCCACCATAGACCCCACACAGCCCTCCATAGAACCTGCCCAGTCTACCATAGACCCCACACAGCCCTCCATAGAACCTGCATAGCCCACTATAGACCCCGCACAGCCCACCATAGAACCTGCACAGCCCACCTGAGAGTCTGCACAGCCCAACATAGAACCTGCACAACCACATGGGAATCTGCACCGTCCATCATAGAACCTGCACAGCCACCTAGGAGCTGGCATAGCCCACCATAGAACCTGGACAGCCACCTGAGATTCCGCACTATTGCTCTAATTGCCATTATTTTCCTAGACGTCTACTTTTAGGGCTAGTTATTAAGTTATTACTAAAACCATTAATAATTGAATGCAGAGGCAATTTATTATGTATGATAAGGAGTACATACATAAATGTAGTCTTACAGATACAATCGGCCCTTTGAGAGCAGCCATAATGCTGATTCGGCCAATGATGAAATTGAGTTTGACACCCCTGTTCTAGAGTATCAAAGTCCGCTTGGCTTGTCTAGTCTGCAATACATACTGGAATATTGCACCACTGACCTAACAGCTAATGTAAAATCAAGAAGGAGATATTCGAATTGTTCTTCTAAATTGTTATATGTTGGAAAGCACCACAGAACTTTTCTTCTCTCATAGATCAGCTTGAGTAAGTGTGGCGAGTATTGGTGGAATGCCGTCTTGGAGGGGGAGGAAAAAATAGATATAGACAAAATCAACAAAGAGCGCACCATGGCCACAGTGGACGAGGAGGAGCATGCCGTGTTGGACCGACTCACTTTTGACTACCATCAGAAACTGCAGGGGAAGCCACAGAGTCATGAAATGGTAAGTCTTGATGGCAAAGAGTTTCACCACTTGAAGTGAACCTATGCTTTAACCATGCAGGCCACATCAATAGCTTTATTATATAGCCAGCCCCTCCTACTTTACTTCCCATGCTGCTCTGTTCTTCTGCACCTGACAGCCCCACTAGCTGTATCCTTGTAGTTCCTCATCTTCTCTGTGGCCCTAAATCTGAACCTACAGAAATGCATACAAGCTTATTGCATGGTTCAGGTGCAATCTGCTAAGCCCTCTGCATCTAATTCAATCTAAATATGGAAAATTGGTGTGAGTTGAACGAGATTGAATATTTTAAGACAATGATCTTTTGAGAGGAGCATAGACTTGAACAATATCACATTTTTTTTCAAAGGGCCTATTTTAAGTCTTTGGCAGATTTCTCCACACTTCTCTGAATTATCACTAGGACTTTGAAAGTAATTTGGCTTCACTAGTTGGTAAAGGAAAACCCTGGAGGGGGTCCTGTCCCCTCCCCCCCCAGCACAGCCCAACATAGAACCTGCACAACCACATGGGAATCTGCACCGTCCATCATAGAACCTGCACAGCCACCTAGGAGCTGGCATAGCCCACCATAGAACCTGGACAGCCACCTGAGATTCCGCACTATTGCTCTAATTGCCATTATTTTCCTAGACGTCTACTTTTAGGGCTAGTTATTAAGTTATTACTAAAACCATTAATAATTGAATGCAGAGGCAATTTATTATGTATGATAAGGAGTACATACATAAATGTAGTCTTACAGATACAATCGGCCCTTTGAGAGCAGCCATAATGCTGATTCGGCCAATGATGAAATTGAGTTTGACACCCCTGTTCTAGAGTATCAAAGTCCGCTTGGCTTGTCTAGTCTGCAATACATACTGGAATATTGCACCACTGACCTAACAGCTAATGTAAAATCAAGAAGGAGATATTCGAATTGTTCTTCTAAATTGTTATATGTTGGAAAGCACCACAGAACTTTTCTTCTCTCATAGATCAGCTTGAGTAAGTGTGGCGAGTATTGGTGGAATGCCGTCTTGGAGGGGGAGGAAAAAATAGATATAGACAAAATCAACAAAGAGCGCACCATGGCCACAGTGGACGAGGAGGAGCATGCCGTGTTGGACCGACTCACTTTTGACTACCATCAGAAACTGCAGGGGAAGCCACAGAGTCATGAAATGGTAAGTCTTGATGGCAAAGAGTTTCACCACTTGAAGTGAACCTATGCTTTAACCATGCAGGCCACATCAATAGCTTTATTATATAGCCAGCCCCTCCTACTTTACTTCCCATGCTGCTCTGTTCTTCTGCACCTGACAGCCCCACTAGCTGTATCCTTGTAGTTCCTCATCTTCTCTGTGGCCCTAAATCTGAACCTACAGAAATGCATACAAGCTTATTGCATGGTTCAGGTGCAATCTGCTAAGCCCTCTGCATCTAATTCAATCTAAATATGGAAAATTGGTGTGAGTTGAACGAGATTGAATATTTTAAGACAATGATCTTTTGAGAGGAGCATAGACTTGAACAATATCACATTTTTTTTCAAAGGGCCTATTTTAAGTCTTTGGCAGATTTCTCCACACTTCTCTGAATTATCACTAGGACTTTGAAAGTAATTTGGCTTCAC